AACTCTTCTCATGTTCTCATAGAGACAATAGATGTCAGACATTGGAATCGTTGACAACCAATGGATTGGAGAATAAGAGTAAAGAATTTGATACACAATATATAGAGAAGGAGAGAGAATATGGCATAACTTGTTATATCATATGATAGGGTATTATATAATATAACATATTGTATATGATATCGAAAGAGCAGCTGTTGTTTGATTTGAGCACAAGTTGTGAACAATTCATAAGTGATTGCATTGACAGCACTGTTGCCAATGAGAGGTGTCTTTCAATTATAGACTGTTAAAACGTCTGTTATACACTTTTATATAGCTTTTTATTATAGTGCTCTTTATTGTTGTTTTAAGACAGTTTACGAACGGAAAATTAGGTAACTCGCTAATTTACCGTTTCAGAAACCAATTCAGGATATCCCATTCAATTAAGAGCTCACCTCATGACGAGGGCTATGAGAACAAAGTGGTAGAACCCGACACTCTTAGCGATGCCGAAGACGACCCCACAGATGATCGCCAGTGCGTCACCGGTTCCGATATTATTGGCCAATCGGTGGCCGACACCCAGTATAAGCCCCAGAAGGGAGAGCCCTTCTACGCCCTCAACCCCTCCATATGGCCCGAAGATATTCTCGCCGCTATGTCTCAGCCCGAAGACTCACAACCGCCGCATCATTTCGATGAATTCGGTTTCATCACTCAATTCAAGCCACAGTCCACTCAAGAATCACAAGAATCCACGAGCGATGCGCTGGACTCAAGCGAGCGAACGGAAACCGATCAAGAAGTCAGATCCAAATGGATTTGTTATCTGGAATTTAATTATAACAAAGAGGCGATCCATCAGATGAAGTGGTCTCAAGTGGACATTCAGATGAAACACACAAAAGTGTTGTGATACAAACACCTGTTTCTCTGCAAATCTGTTGTATTGAATGTGGACTCCGATTGGATTGAGTTCTTCTACCCTCAACTCAAACCGTGGATTCATTTCGTTCCCATCGCTAAAGACATGAGTGATTTAGAGGAGAAGATTGAGTTCTTGAAAGCGAACGATCAAATCGGACGCACTATCGCTGAGAAGGGCTTTGAATTTATTTGGCATCACTTGACTATGGATTCGGTTCAGTGCTATTGGAAACAACTTTTGGACAGGTATTCAAAACTATTGACATATAAACCGAAACTCAACACTAACTTAATTAAGATATCTTTAAATAAATAAATTATTTATTAAATTATACAAAAAAGTAATGAAAAGACATTTTATATATTAAATGGGATCTCAATTATGTTGAACAAAGAAAACGGACAGTTTTTGTAATGTGTTTTGCATTTATCCTTAACACCGCCCCTTCCGATGCGTTCGGCTTCTCTGTAAGTCTTTAAGGCACCCGTACTGTCCATTAAGACCGACGATCTATATATAAGGCAAAGAAATGCTGTTAACAAAAGAAAGTGTATTAAATGTTGTGATGTGTGGTATGGCTTACGTTAAGAGCATATCGACCAACTGTCCAACGATACCATGGGATGCGGACATGAAGGGCACTTCTGCCACTTCGCAAATGGCTCTCAAAAGGCATACTTTGCCCAAACGATTGTGCGTTTTCTCGATGGCTCGGAACAGGTTTGCTCTCGAATTAACTCGAGTTCTGTTGGAATCTAAAGATGTGATAAAATCGCCAGAATTTCCTGTATTTATTGTTTGTCTAATGGACTGAACGAAGTCGAGAGCACTCGGAAATTGTATAGTAATTGGAAGTTTGAAACTAAAGCCCGATTGTATAGAATTGGACGAAACCATTGGCATCTCAACGCTCGGCACTATCCTAAGCATGGATGAGGTCGACGGCAATATCAATCGCTGGACTCTTTCGCAATTGATTTCTATTGCTATGAAAACAATTGAATAAATAACTCTTTTAAACATCATTTTGAATGAGAACTGTTTTGTAAATTTATTTAAATAAATATTTTGTTCATTAGTTTATATGTATTTATAGTGTTTTTTGATAATAATGAGACGGCTTTGAGGGTCACTGCGGATGACAATTGCATTTTTACTGACACCTAAGTCCAAAGCATCGGATGCTGTGAATGCAGTGCTGTCTCATCACTGATGGGAAGTGTATTTAAATTTAATTTATGCCAAAATCATTACCAATATATCGCGTATCGCTTTGTCATTCATTTGTATTCAAAAATAATAATAATATTTTGTCGCAAAGACTTCTAAATAGTCTTTTGAGAAACAACTTAACAGACATTTGTTGAAGGCTTGCATGACTTAGACGTTAGTCTGACTCTAAGTTTTTGCAAATAAAATGAAACCAAAGTCAAGAAGTGTTTGGATCACAATAGTGTCCGTTATATTGATAACGGCTGAGATCTGTGCCGACGAGCCATCAGCTCATCATAGAGTCCGACGATTTGTCTTCACAAAGAACTCCAAGATTTCGTTTGACATCGACTTATCGATTCCAGTGCCGAGTTTGGGTGGTGTCGACGTCCAGATGGATCTGTCGTTTCCATTATCGATAACTATGTTAAACGACACCCTTTTGTTCAATCCGATAACAATGCCATACATTGTAGTGCCAGAAGCGCCGGCAGTTCCGCTCAATTTCCCCTCATTTATGCCTAATTATTATAGTTATGATTCATATTACGGCTCATCCGGTGGTTCGCCTTATTATACACATCAGGCTATGAAACGAAGTATAGGCGCCGCTTCTGCACAGCATAGATATGATCTCTTCAACTCAATCGCTGAGACTCTCGACAGGTTTGTCCACACAATTGTCGATAACTTTTTCTTTTTTAATCTTAAACAACAATTTTCAACACAAGGTATGGAATCGATGGCCGGAATTGCATTTACAGAGCGATCTGTGAATTAGCCAACACTCCAATGCTTATAGAATCGCCATTACATGAGGTGTTGGAACACATATTAACGGTCTCGAGATCTTATGACGAAGAAGGACTTCTCGACCACTATATGAACGCTCAGTCGTATGGAAAAGAGGGCAAAGACTGCGCTAAACAATACAATTCTTGCGGTTTCAGTATATTTAGAAAACTTGAGGAATGATTTATTGATGTCTTAAATATCCCACGAAAACAAGTGATGCTTTACTAACATATCTCTTACGCCATCCTTCGAGACGGGACTCTTGGGTTGAATACTTTCCGCCAGTTCTGAGTTGGGATTCAAATTAAACGAGAACTGAGTTAATAATCTGAAAGACAAAAACATATTTGTAAATTATTTATTTATTTATTATTAATTTTTTAGTGTTTGTATTGGAAATAAATGAATTGGTTTTTTATTCATTGGTACCTGAGCTCAGACTTAATCATTTTCCAAACAGGACTGTTCACAAAACTCCAGTTGTGATACCATTTGGAGATAATGTGCGGCTGATTGGCACAGATAACGGCAAACCATTCGTGAAGAATATTCTGATTTAAAGCGATGCATAATAGAGAGCGAAGTTTAACGTCCATCGCCTCGTTCTCGTGGGTGTGGTTTATGTGTGCAATACTTCTGTAGAGCAGTTCCGATGGCGTCAATACTCTGGCGAATTCGTCCAAACGAAAAGTTCGGGTCAATACTAATCGAGAGTAAACCGAATTGAAGTCACTTTCAGCGCAAGCCTTGGAAATGGTTTCGATTATAATCCAGGGATGAGTGGTCACGAAGAGTGTCTTCTTCATGCCGTACGTCAGTATTGTTTTGATGGCGTTATAAAGTCGACCGCGAATCAAGTCATTGATGAATGGTATGACCCGATCGTCGCCCGCAATACTGTAGTCGCGGTTCCGTTCGTCTAATATTTCGACAAACTTTGCGGGAAACCAACCCCTGAGGCCATTCAACTCACCGACCCAACTAGTTGGGATTCAAATTAAACGAGAACTGAGTTAATAATCTGAAAGACAAAAACATATTTGTAAATTATTTATTTATTTATTATTAATTTTTTAGTGTTTGTATTGGAAATAAATGAATTGGTTTTTTTTTAATGAATTGGTACCTGAGCTCAGACTTAATCATTTTCCAAACAGGACTGTTGACAAAACTCCAATTGTGATACCATTTGGAGATAATGTGCGGCTGATTGGCACAGATAACGGCAAACCATTCGTGAAGAATATTCTGATTTAAAGCGATGCATAACAGAGAGCGAAGTTTAACGTCCATCGCCTCGTTCTCGTGGGTGTGGTTTATGTGTGCAATACTTCTGTAGAGCAGTTCCGATGGCGTCAATACTCTGGCGAATTCGTCCAAACGAAAAGTTCGCGTCAATACTAATCGAGAGTAAACCGAATTGAAGTCACTTTCAGCGCAAGCCTTGGAAATGGTTTCGATTATAATCCAGGGATGAGTGGTCACGAAGAGTGTCTTCTTCATGCCATACGTCAGTATTGTTTTGATGGCGTTATAAAGTCGACCGCGAATTAAGTCATTGATGAATGGTATGACCCGATCGTCGCCCGCAATACTGTAGTCGCGGTTCCGTTCGTCTAATATTTCGACAAACTTTGCGGGAAACCAACCCCTGAGGCCATTCAACTCACCGACCCAACAGTGCTCATCCCTTTCGCTCACTATAGTTATGATATCATTCTTCCTGAAACCCAATTCGTCGGAATCGTGTCTTTGGAAATCAATCAACGCTTTCGCCCTTTTCTGTCGCATTCGTTGTTTTCTTTGATTGTATTCCTCGTCGTCTTCATTGTTGTCGACCACTGAATAGTCGGGAATCAGGTTTGAATGGAAAGACGGCTCGTGAACCTCAAAGTGACGACCAATCGCTTCGATCGCTTCGTGCAGTTCTACTATAATGGAAGTCTGTCTTATATTCTTAGTCTTTAAGTCCGTGTCATATGTTTCGGCATTAAATGATGGCAACGATAGTGAAGAGGAATGTATGGAAGAATTGTCGGAAATCTGTGATTGCGTTGGACTCGGGTTTAAGTATTGAATAAACTTCTCTCCTGTACTCCAAATCAGTAATAAAGACGACAAGTCTTTGATATTTGAGGGCAAATCTGACAGCGAATTGAAGACATTCGCCGAATCCTTATCTTCACAAATGCTATGATTGTGACAAACGAGAAGACCTAATGTTATTTGAAACAAAACAATTGATCCGAAGTAGAAGTAAAGGTCCCATAAATGGAGAAGAGTTCGCGTTTCGGGAATAAATGCGGCGAAGAGTGCGGAAAACCAATGGGAAGTAATTAAACTCAATTCGATGTCGTGTTGTCTTAATATTTCATCGATTTGTGGGCAATGAGTGCCGATGAGAGTCGTCAGTGTCTTCTGATGGCTGAATGATTTCAGTTCGTTAGCAATGGATAGCGTTAACCAAAAAGCGTCCTCTTCTTCGCAAACCAACAGCAGATAAGCGGCGATAACCGACAGATTCACGGATTCGCGGCTCATATTATAAACGGTTGTCCCGTTCTTTTGCAACCATTTGATGACACGTAATATTCTTCGAAGTCTTCCGATTCCGACCGAAGTGCTGGACATAAAGCAGGCGTTCGTCGGAAGGACTCGAGATATTTGTTTGTCAGACAGAGAGGGCACGTGATTAGAGAGATCGCAGAGTTGGCTATACGTCCAGTTGCTGTTCACCTTCAGTGTCAACCCTTTTGACGCCCGCATCCATATCGGAGGTCTCAGCGACGGACTAATACCCGATTTGATGAGTTCTGTCAACACTTTTGTGTGTTTCATCTGAATGTCCACTTGAGACCACTTCATCTGATGGATCGCCTCTTTGTTATAATTAAATTCCAGATAACAAATCCATTTGGATCTGACTTCTTGATCGGTTTCCGTT